AAGCTTTGGGCTTACAGTTTCATTTTTGGTTTCAGGTACCTCAGATGATCGCGGGAAGGCAAAGGCGTGATCGTACATCTCCTCACATTTTATGACTATGTTTTTGGGATACTCTGATATAGAACTTTTTTGGAAACAAATTTGTAATAACTGTTGGTTTCTAAATGTTTTAAATTTTTTAAATTTTGCTTGATTTTTATGGATGTTACAGTTATTTCCTAACATTTTTGCACTTGAAAATGCAAAATTTTGTGTTGTTAGTGATAGGTACCTATTGGCGGACAACAGAGTGACTTGGAGATGGGATTGGATCCGAGAACCAAGGACACCGGTAGAAATGCAACAACTTTATGCGATGCTTTGTTTATTGGAGAATACTAGTTTAAGTGAAGCTGATGACTCGTGGGAGTGGAAAGGAGAAAAATCGAACAATTTCAGTATGGAGTCCCTACGAAATCTAGCATCTACCGTGTTCTCAAATCCGAAAGCTATGTATTTTCCATGGTTGAATTTGGTCCTGCTTAAAATCAACACTTTTTGTTGGAAGCTTTGGCAAGATGAAATACCCACATCAGTAAACCTTATCAAAAAGGGTATCACATCAATACAATCCACATGTTGTTTCTGTCATACAGGGGAAGATTCTTCTTTACACTTATTCTTGGAATGCAACTTTGCAACTGAGGTTTGGAATAGAATTCGCAGTTGATGTGGGTTCACTTGTTTAAACCCAAGGGATATCAGATCTTTATTTAGTGTTGATAATCTTACTGACAAAACCAAAAAGGTGACAAAACTCAACCATACGATTCTAATGGCGACTTTATGGAATATTTGGAGATCAAGGAATGAAGCAATTTTTAAAAATGTGAAACCATGTCCAATTAAAGTTATCGACCAAACTATGGCGATGACTTTTACGTGGATAAAACATAGGGGAAAGAAATATTCTCTTTGTTGGGAAACATGGTGTATCGAGCCTACCGGGTGCTTTTGATGTTTTTTTTTTCTTTTTTTCTTTTTTCTGTTTTGTCCGAGTGTACTATTTTGTTTTGGGTAGCTCCTTGCTAGTTTTGCCATTATATATGTCGCCTTTTTGCAGTTCAAAAAAAAATCTAAACATTGTTATTTAACTCATTATATAAGTAATGTCCTTCTAAGCACATTCTTTCATTTGATTTTTTTTGAACCGGCAAACGAGGATATTATATATACAAAAATTGAAAAGCCACTCCTAGCAAGTTACTGGGAATGGAAGTACCATTCTTTCATTTGATTACTATGAATTCTATAGAAATAACTATTATGTAGTGAGTACACGATAAGGTTAATGATAACTTTCGCTTTTCCGTTATTCCATATTTAGTCCTTACATTTACGGTGTATTGAAGCTTTATTATGGAGTCTTAGTTTTTATTCTTTAGTACCCAATTCAATTTATACTAAGTAGCATATTATAATTTGCATAAGAATTTCCAACATTACTTCATTATTTGTATGTCCCTAAGCATCACTGTTGAATTTCTTAATTAGTTCATTTCCATAAAATATTACACAAGTTAAACTTTCTAAATATAATCATAATTCACTTCTTGTCATTTCTTGTCATAAGCTTCACTTTCCCATGAGTAGGGGTTCATATTTTTATCCCTTATTACCAATATATAAGTATTTCAATCTTCATCCATGACTCCTGCAACATGGTTCTTTTTTAATACATAGCCGATTTCTACTTTCTTTAGTCATAATTAAATGACTTAAAAGATCCACAATCACAATTCTGTCTACTAGATGTAGCTAGGATGAATGACAATACAACTAGATTTCGTCAATAAAAGTCAATGCTAGTCAACTCTTGACCAATAGTCAATTCCAGATTAACGGTGGTACTCTAACGAAATACCAAACATACACAAGCTTGTGTGGTCCATTCAATCAAGTTGTACAGACTTTGGAATCCTAAATTTGCATCTTTGATTCGTTTATGATGTTTGTGGTTCAAAGTACCATTTCTTAAATAAACTTCTGAACTTTTGTTGATGAAACTCATCATCACTTTAATCATTCTTGCATATATAAGAAACATGTACATCATCATTTCTCAGATTACATGTAAGGGTTACCCTCTTAATCGTTAGCACAAATGTACACCACGAAGGTACATCGATTCACGAGACTCTTTAAGATGACACGTTTAAGGTAATGAGGTGTTCCCCGTATAGTCTATTCTTGGTTGGACGACAACTCATAGGTGAAGAAACCGCAATTCATCATTAAACAATTTTAGCAATTTCTAAAAATGTTCATAGTAATTCAAAATATGCCAAGTTTCGAATTTGGCTAAGTTTTGTAAAAGAACTTACTTTGCGAAGTACAATTTTTGAAGTTATTTAAGGAAATTGTGATTATGAAAATATATAAATAATATAGTAAATAGATGAAATGCAATAATTTAGTTTGCACCTGAAAGTATAGCCGTTCCAAAAAAAAAAAGTTGAAAGTACATCCATATAAAGTAAAATTTTGAAAAGGATTTTGTCATAAAATGTTGTTTCGCAAATAATGATGTATTTCAAAACAGCTATGCTCAAAAATAAGTTGCAAAATAATTTTTATCATAAATAAGTGTTCGATGTTGATAATGTATTTCAAAAGTTCAAAATATGGCAGTAATTTTCACTATTTATGTGAAACATTAACGACTTATATAGTAATAAACTTTATTTTGTGTACAATTTAGTCACTTATATTTTTCTGTATACATATTACCATTAAATTTGTTTTTTTTTTTTCAGAAAATAGCATTATGATTTACAATAACAATTCATGTAAACACGTTTAATGATCATATCGAAAAAATAAATAAATAGAAAATAATAAAATAATAAAAATAAAACTATTAAGTGATTAAATGTGTATACAGGATAAAGTTTATTATATTTATAAGTCATTAACTGTTTTATATAAAACCAATGCCACCAAACTGTTTTGTCTCTTCTAGTAATGATGAAATTAGATTTTAACCGGATTTCAGTATGTAATAGAACCAAACACAAGAAACTTTCTTCATATAGTTATGGTTCTTCCAACCACACCTTCTCTAATGGTGCCTACCACCACCACTAAGAACTACAATAATTACATCCAAACAACCACACATCATCATCATCTTCTCACTTACTAAACTAATGCACCTCTATGTCTAGGCTTAAGCAAATCTACGCCCAGACACTCTAAACCACCTCTATCACTAAATCGCTTACGTTTACCTCTATAATCAGGTTAGAATATAATTTCATCATTATTAGAAGAGTCAATATAGTTTGGTGACTGGTTTTTTTTTATAAAAATACAGATATATGACCATTAAACTTTTACATTGTTCATAAAATACTATTATGACAGTTTAGTATAGATCATAATCGTCTTTTGTAGACAAAATATACAAGTTTAATAGTCATGTGTATGAAAAAACTAAGTGGATGTACATAAGATAAAGGTTATTATTTTTAGATTTAATCCTTCTCTAAAAGATTGTCATATATATATATTAGGTTAAAACCCGTGGAACCCACGGATGATAATTTTAAATATAATTAAAAAAAATTGATTATATATTAAAAAACTTGACTTCCTACAAACCTGATGTTGAACATCAAATTGATACAATTCTCTCCGTCACTATAGTAAAGAGAGAGCAAGATGAAGAAAAAAATGAAAACAAAATCAATATATGTATTTTAACTCATATACACCATAAAAATGGTCACTATTTAATTCATCGTAATTTTATAATTTACCCAAATTCATGCCCGAAACTATTCTGTAATAATTTATCTCCAACAACGTTTCGTGGGACAAACATACAATTGGGTTTGATAATCTTGAAAGATTCCTTGATTCCGTTCAAGAATATTTTTTTGGATTTTTTTTTATATAAATTATCACAATGCTCATAGTTTTCTATGATAAACATCATCTTCATTTTATACATAACATTATTTGATAACTAAAAAAATCAAATCAGATTTGCCAATTTAAAAAAAAAAAAAAAAAAAACTAACTAAAAAATCAATTATACCATTCAATGAATTTGCTCTAAAATTAGTGTGTTGTTATTTACTAAATTTATGAAAATTGTTTATGAAATGACTCAATGAGCATGATATGGAAATACTTAATTAAAAAATTAGCTAGTTAAGCCTTCAAACTTTGGCTACAAAAACCTCTTAATCTTGTTAGTCGTAAGAGCATAATCCACAATGATAACCTTCATCAAATTTTATTAAAATTTTGGCCCGAAAGAAAATAAGAATAAAAAAATGAAATATAAAAATTCTTTTCTCTTTCCATACCAATACAGCCCATCACAGTTTTGCTTTATGGACAAAATGGACTCCATATTTATATCATAAACTTGATACAATCTGTATGCTTAAACCTGACTTTGCAACTTCCATGATAATTAGAAGTGAACAAACCCCTAAAACTGTAATCAATATTTAGTAAAATGACGATACAATTGCGATTTATATGGAAACAAATAGCTTAAATCGTCACATAATCTTCTCTACAGGCTACAAAGGATTTTGTTACAACCCTTAATTTGATATGTAAGATTGCACAGCATGGAGGCATATGCACTTTGAAAGTTGTCAAATTTACATTAGATGCCACCCAAAAAATCTGAAGTTTGTAAGCCCCAAACACCTTCACAACATCAAGAAATAATACATTAAGATTCAAAATTTCAACGGTATAAATACTTTAGAGCAATCAAGAAGGTCGAACAAAGTTATGAAATTATATACCAATTAATCGACTTTAGATGAAATTGAAAAGATATTCTAAATCTCTACCAATGACATGATCTTGAATCACTAATGCAATCAGATAAAAATAATACGTGCATCAGAATCATATCCATAATAACTATAAATCTTGAAGCTGTGTTAAACGAATTAAAATACATGCATACCTTAATCAGTAAGAAACACCAACTATTTGTTGGCTTTGGGAAGAACTTGAGATGAAATCGTGGTACACAACTCGTGTGTAGACTCGCTTCTGCTAATGCATCCTGTAAGAATTATCCCCATCTCATCGCTTCTGCTAAAACATCAAATTCCAAAAAGAGAAAAGATATTGCAGTATAACTCGAGGGCATACTCAAAAAGGATTTGGATTTCTCTTTTTAGTACTGTAATCAGATATAACTTGTTTTTCTAATGAAGCAGTGCTTTATTTTGAGAGAGAAGCACCAAAATGGATTAGGGATGTGATGTTATTTAGTAAGAGCATTTCTCGTATTTTTTTCAAAAACTGTACTTTTAACCCACTGACATCTATCCACCATATTTAGGTGAGGGAATGAAAGGAAAATTTGTCCTATTGACACGAGTCTTAGTCTCAATACAACTTGTTGCAAATAGAAGAGTTAACCTTATGGAACCGTATAGCTTATTGAACATGTCTTCTTTCACTTTTTCTACTTGGCAAAGAACAATTGTCTGCACAACAACAACAAAAAAGAAAAAGAAAAAAAAAGATAATTTATTGTGAAACAGATGAGAGACCATGGAAGTAGAGAGGTGGTGGCATTTAGTAGATAGCTTATTGAACGACATATGGAGTGTCATGACATTGACAATTTGTGAACCTGTTTCCTTAAGAAGCTTTGCAAACCATTCTTTATCAAAGAACCCTCCAGGGGCTACAAGTAGTGGTTTTGGCTAGATTCGTCTGTATAGATTGTCAATTATACCCCTGAGTTCAATTAAATCGTTCCCTTACTGTTCAGCATTGACCATGGCACCAACACCATTACCACTCAACTCATTTCCTACACCAATAAAGGATATGAATGTACATATCATACATAAGTAAAAACAAATTTAAGGATTTGAGATAAATGAAGTACCAAATTCCCATGAATGTATTTGATACCCCTTGGAAACAGTATACTTTATAAAATCATGGGCATTGCTGGACTTCCAACTTCTTCCCCAAACCCCCTTCCTAATCTGGTGTCTTCCTCGAAGTGCATTTAAGCCAAAGGTGACAAGTGATCTACAAATATAATCAACAAGTTCAGTTTCTATCAAATTAACGAAGCACAACTTTTTTTATAAATATNNNATATATATATATATATATATATATATATATATATATATATATGTATGTATAACCTTGTCTTGACAAAAAATTGATTCAATTCATCCCATCTATCCATACGAAGACAGCCTTTAGAGAATCCAAATAATCCTCATTTCAATTTTATAAAGGGATGACAAGGACCCGAGATACTCCCCACATCATACACCACTTGATCTTGTAAGGAACCTCCTACTCGAGTTCTTAGATGTTCAAATGTTGTTTAAGTCATATCAATAAAACAAGTGAGCAAAAATCAAGAACAACTTCTTGCGATTGGACTAAAAAAAAAACCTTGGACTGCTTTTGTAAGAAGCGGATTAGATAAATCCTGAAAATATGATACCACCAAAAAAATTATTTCCATTTATTTTGTGTTACATATATGGAAAAGTGTGTGATGTGTTTACCAGATTTAGAGCAGATGACGACCCCCATGGGCAATGATTGTAGTTACACTTGTCATCAGGCCACCAATCGATGGTAGCACAAATGTAATTTGCATCTATATATGATATTGGTAAAGTTCCATTAATTACAAGTTCCGACTCTTGAACATATTGTGCCGAAATTGCAGAAATCGATGCCAGAAATAGAAACAATGATGTGAAAAACTCCATTAATGGTTAAAGAACTTGACTTCTAGCTCAGCCTGGTTACCATTTAGAGCAAAAAAGAAACTGTTAGGATGAATACAGAAGAGCAACAGTGTATGCTTCTTGAATGGCCATGTTGATACCTTTTTAAGGAATTATACTTGCCTTTTGTTAGAAACAAATCATAGTGTTCCTGTAAAAGTGTAAAGAAGAAAAGAAAAAAAAAAGTATACATCTTACAAAAATGAATTGTTTTTTTCCCTTTATATATTCGTGATTTGAGAAAATTTGTTCTTTCCAGAGAGCAATTTTCTTGCTGTGTTTAACATTTCGAGCAAAAATCACAATAGTAAAAGCTAAGCAACCGACAACATTATTGTTTAAACTAAACCTGATTTGTTTGAATTTCAAAAATCAGATCCCAATGCATTGATTAATAACATTTTAGAACGACATACATCAAAATGAGATTCTTATAGGCCAAAAATTACCTCTAACAAATGGATTGAGTATGCAAAAACGGCATTTGCTGTTGATCCTCGGATTGCTTTCTCTTGGTTATAGAATTGTTAAATTAATTAAATGAGAAGACTGAATCTTCATAATATTTAAGATATTTCAAATGTATTTTTAAACAAATTACCTGTCATCTATGAGGTAGGGCAG